AAAAAAACAGATATTTATCACGTTATGGGGACATTGTGTCCCCATAAGGATAGGTAAACCCGCTCACACACACACACACACACACAGAGAGGTCCTCTACCCAGTCGTCACCTGTTGCCTGCCGGGGTTGACTTTTATCAGAAGTTCTGATTTTGGTGCAAGAGCCTTATCAGATAAAGGAGGGGATTAAAAAAGCAGAGATACAGAGGAGGCTGGAGGTGAGGGATGGGGGGGGAAGGCAGGGAACAAGTCGCAACCCCTCTCTGCACAGGGAGGCCTGTGTCGGGAAGCAGGGCCCTGCGAAGAAGCCTCCCCCTCCCTGCCCTCCGCTCCCGGCCTCTCTCTCCCTCTCTCCCTCTCTCTCCCTCTCTCTCTCACCCGCTCAGAAACAGGATCCGCGATTCCTCTGAGCGCCGCCTCTCTGTTTCTCCCCCTCCTCTCCTCCACCACACGCCCGGCACTCCGCTCTTCCTGCTTTTAAGACCTTCGTAAAAGCTGCCTTATTGACAAAACAATCCATCGCGGGGCCCAAACACCGTCTTTAAGGGGATTATTAAATTCCATCAGGAAGAGTGGGGCGGCCTGTGCTGAAACCTGAGGACCCCGCCATCGATTTCGGATCGTTCGTGCTTTATGGAGTGTTCTCAGAACGCTCTCTTACCGTCTCACCCCGACACCCCCCCCCCCCACGCACGTCGACCCCATGAGCTACGCCATGCACTCCCGGATGTGTGATGTAAGGCTCATCCGCCGGGTCTGTCTACCAGCCGCCGGGATTCGACCCGGAATGGTGGCATTCCTCGACTCGCGTAACCCGCCCTGGAAAGGGGCCGCGGCCGCCAGGGGTCGGGGAGGGGTCATGGTGAACCGGGTCACAACCCTCCCCCGCAAACAAAAGCGAGTGAGCCCATTGGGGCGCCCCCCATGTTTATAAAAAGCACAGGGGAGGGGATTAAAGAGAACAGAAACGCTGAACAGCTATTCTTGGAGGGGGGGGGGGCAATAAAACTTAAAATGCCTCCCTGACCCCTAGCGATGGAGCGCTAAGCTACTTGACCAGAGCCTGGGGAAGAAGCAGCTCAGACACCCAATCCAGCTATGAAGAAGCACACGTTTATCTCAGCTGATAACATTCAAGGAGGTACAATTCCTCACCCCCCCCCCCTTTGTTCTGACCCCCCCAGGCCACATCCCTGCCCCCTCTCCCCGATTAAAGGGTTTACCAGTTGAAACAGTCCACAGACACAGCAGGATGGACCCGCCCCCCCAAACCCATCCCTCTGAGCTAGCTACCACGCGATTGGCCAAGCCCATCTTGCCGGCCCCTGGCCCCTGGCCCCTGCGCGCTGAGGGCCACCTCCTCAGTACTGTGTACTTGCCAATAATTCATGAGCGATCTGCACCCCTGACCCCCCCCCCCCCCCCCCAGCCGCCCTGTTCCGCCATCATCAATAATGAAAGGGAAAACGCGCGTGTTAACAATTCAGCGACAGCCCCCTGCGCTTTGAAGCGCCGTGTAGCTTCCGTGTGTTTGGCTGCCTGTTTAATGCGGTTTTTTTTTTTACAAACCACTTAATGCTAGACCAGATCTGACTCCTCAGTCAAACATGGCTGATTTGGGATTAACTAGGACTAAACCAGATTTAACTAGTGCTAAACCAGAATTACGAAGTTTGGGGCAAAAGAGGGCTATCCTAGACACCTTTGGATAGTTATCGTACCGTTTGGTCTTGTTATGTATGTTAGTTATGTTATAGATGATTCCTGGACCATGGGGGTGTGCAGTAAATAAAATCATAGCACGGGCAATCGGCTCTAAGTACAAGAAGCTCATGAGATCGCATCAGCAGGGGTTGCCATGGAGATGGCCAATGGAGGACTACTAAGATGGTCTAACGTCAGGTGCACAGACCTTCGTCCTCATGGGCCTTCCGTCTCTCTCTCTCTCTCTCTCTCTTTCAGTACATTTCCAGGTTATAGCTCTTCACTCGCTTTACAGTGGCTGATATGAGGTTTAGTAAAAGCCCGGTCAAGCGTAACACACTGCCCAGGCCACGCCCACCACATGGTGACATCATCCCATTCACCTGATGAGTCCCCCACCCAAGCCTGCCTGACACAGACCAGCCGTGAGGTCACAGCGAACAATCCCCAGGATGCGCTGATGGGAGGTCAGCCCTGGGTTCGAGCCATTACCCAGCTCTCATTAATTAGGCGACAATGGCGCTGGAGCAGGATCCAGATCCAGATCTGGACCCCAGGTCACGCGCCAAAGGCTGTTTACACGTCACGGCGGACGTCGCGGTCCCCCCCAGGCAGACGAGGGTGTTGTGGGGGAGGAGCCAACAAAAGCTCGTGTTTGTAAACAAACAATCGGCATCCTCCACCATCAGAAAACAACAACGACAACAACATGGACCAGTTCCCATCTGGGTGAGGTTTTCCGAGGGGCAAGACGCACATTGGGAATGGAGGGGGGGGGGGTACATTCATTCAGATCATTAGGAACTGGTTGCCAGGGGCAATGGCATTGACTGCATGTAAATAAAGGCGTGTAAAGACTCACCAGTTGTTCACTTGTAGTATAGTGAGTCCCGTGTCCTGTGCCAACTGCTTCTTCTGTTCTTCCGAGGGGTACGGATGCTGTGGAGGACAAAACATAAATAAATCAATTAATGAACAGATTTCCTTTTCTCGCTCTTTTTTAACATTTGTTTTTTGAAGGCCTAATTGACGCCAGATAGGGGCGAGGGAGGATGCGGTGGAGGAAGTCTCGGAGCAGCTGTTAATTAGTATAAAACAGGAGGTGTGTCTTATTCTCAGAGTCATTAATGGAATACGGGAAGGTGTAATTAATGGCAGTGAAGAGGCAAGCCAATTATAAAGTTAAGCGAAGTGTAGAAACAGCAACGTTAATTAGGATGCCTCGCTGCTGACGAATCCCCCCCCCCCCCCCCCGATTTATTCAAGTTGGCTCATGAAGAAATGATTGGGGGGGTGGGGTGCGACAGAGATTGTGACACCCAACAATGGCCGGGAACGTTCTGGAAAAACAGCCTACCTTTCATTCTCACCCCCGCACCCCCAAAAAAAGGTTCTGTGTTTTAAGTCTTATTTTTGCCAGAAGCCGATGGGACATGCGGTCATTTACTGGGATGACGTGGGGCAGGAGTGTGGGGGCCGTCGGACCCGGACGACGGGCAGGAAAAAAAAACAGGTCCAGCTGTTTACATTCTGCCCCAGTGCCCCCCCCCACAGAGCAGGACACGAAAAGGCTCAGGCCTCCCAGCCCACGGAGGCCTTTAAAGTCCATGACTGTGTCGGGGGGGGGGAGGGTGCTGGGACTGAACAGAGTGGGTCTGTGCCCACAGCACAGGGAGAGATCTGCCCCCCCCCCAGGAGAACAGACCTCATAGGGAGTTGAACTCAGCTTCTGTCCTGTCATTTGAAAGTGTGTTCTTCACCCTCCCCATCTCCATACTGGCCCTCCAGAGGTACCCAGCGGAACATCCTCAGACAGTAGCCCCAAAAACGGTGAGCCGTGACGCGACGCCACGCTGTGCCGGAACACCGGGAACTGCACACTTCGGAGTGCATCCGCACAGACGCGGGGGGGGGAGGGGGACGGGACAAGGGGCCACGTCGTTCCTGCATGACACTAACTGCAGCGGCCCAGCTTCACACATGCAGGGGGTTGTTATAATTGTGGCCCCCCCACTCCCCCCCCTGCTGCCCTCTGAGGCTCTTCCTCAACACCGCGACTGGATAATTCCATCAAACCATGGTAACGAAGTCTGCGTCGGGAAGGGAAAACAAACAAAAAACACATTCCTGAGGCACGGTTTATTTCCGTCGGACCCCGTGATGCCAGAATGGACCGCCCCGAGTGCCTCGCACCACTTGGGAGACAGACATAATTGTCCTAATCACATGGACACTGTGACCACATGCCCTGGTGCCTGTGATCTCTCCACCCCCCCCACTCCCGGTCGCCGGGGGGGTGTGGGTTTTTCTTCTTTATTCCCCAGGACCCAGGGAGTTTATCTGTGAATAACCTGACACGTGAATCGTGCTCACAGAATACATGACACCCGTGACCCCATGTGTCCTTCCCCAGCCGAGCACAGATACGGCGGCCTTGCTCTCAAACAAAAGTTTTTGGGTTTTTTTTGGCCACCCCCCCCCCCAATGGGAAGCAGTGATCACGCGGCTGTGGATGTCCCGGCTGACCGGGTGGAGTTCTTGTTGCATGCACTACCCTAATCCGGCCGTAACTGCACGTAAGACTGTCAAATCGAGCCAGTACAGGGACACGGGGGCGGCGGTCACAGCCAGAGAGCAGGGAGTAGAGATATCAAAGAAATTATGTCAGGAGGCGGGGCCAAGGCTTCCCAGACACCCCCCCCCCTCACCCCCCCCCCCCACCCCCCCACACAGAAAGCATCACATCAGCATTAGCGGGAATGGCTAACAGTCTGTACCCCACCAGGTCCTGCTTCACCTTTGTTACCATAACAACAGCTCCTAGGTAACCAGAGTTGTTGTAGTGTCTGGATGAGGGGGGGGGGGGCAAAGGATGGGAGTGGGATTTTCCTTAGCTGAGTCACTCACCCTTGGGGGAGGGGGGGTTTGGGTAAAGGCACAAGCCAATAACCGAGTGCAAGATAAACCCTGTAGGAGAAGCCGCCTCTGTTAATGTGCCCCTGCAATCGCAGCCCTTCGCTTCGGCGATTTATTACAGCTGAGATGCCTCATGGCCCCTTCACAACAGCCCCCCCCCACCCCTGCCATTAATGTCGCCGGCGTATATCAAAAATACGGCTTGTCGTCTCGCCGGCTCGTCTCCGTGGAGGGGGCCGCCTTTAAGGACAGAGCAAACAAAGGTACGATTATCATCCCCGCGAGCTCAGACGCGGCGAGCGAGCGGCCGGGGGGGGGCTGAGGGCTGTTTTCTCAGGCCGGGACGACGCTTCATAGGGAAGGGAAAACATCTCAGAAGAACAGCTGGAAAATTTGTCCGACAACTCCCTGTCTCCCCCCCGCCCCCCGCCCGCCGGCCCGCTGCCCTTCCTATCTTAATGATATGTCTTGTCCAAATGGACTCTCATCAGAGTTTCCACCCCGTTCTGCCAGGGTGGCAAACCCCCCCCCTCCACCGCTGCCCTATCTTATCTTCACGCACGACCCAGCGCCCACGCTGCCCCTGTCCCCCCCCCCCCTTCCCCCAGAGCCTGACAGGGAACGTGGTGATAAAGGGCCAGCGCTCCGGCACCAACGAGTCCGACGGAGAGACAGACAGGATACCCGACTTCCCCAAAATGAAGACCCCCCCCCGGGGTGGAGGGGGGCAACCCGCTTTATCACCCAGCATGTCCCAGAGAGGTGCCCTCTCTCAGGCTACTTCCTCCCCCCAGCCAGATGACGGTGGGGGGGGGGGACAGCTGTTACTCTGAGAGAGGACGCCC